TACGAAATATAAAAAATCAAAAACTAAGAGAATAAAGCATGAACAACCATAGAAAACCCACTTGTTCTAAATAATCTAGTCCCAATGCCGCAGGCAAATCTTTTACTATGGGAACCTCAGAAGAAAACGTTGAATCAAGAAAGTTTGAGCACTTGTCAATCCAGGAGTATAAATGCGATTCAAGAGAAGCCATTTCAACCAAATGGTTGATCACAGTGGCTAGAGAGCTTTTCCTTTCCATGCAGATAGTTTGAAGACTGGTCAGACGTTTGTCTATCGTTTTCACAGCAAAACGGAGATCATTCGCTCCTGGCAGATGATCAAGGCCAGTAATAAGGAGGTTAACTAGATCTCGGAGTTCGTCAAGGTCTGAGACAAGCATCGTAAGTTTAGTAGCTTGTCTTGAGAATAGGAAAAAAGACGAGTATTTAAAGGATTATATGTCCCGAAAATAAAAATCGGATTTAATACAGAGAAGGATTCAGTAATGACAACACAAAAGCGTTGGGTACAAAAAAAGGAGTGGTGGAGATGCTCCAATAAATATGCAGTGACCTAGCCACACACTTAACATTCATAGTTTAGTTTCTATTACAATGCATACGTAGCCATGGCTCAACATGCGTTGGCGCAGAGATCACGTAAGTGCATGACTAAACTTGACTCTCTATTTCGTGTCGACCAATCTAAGCTTGGCACCGCATTGTCTAATCTGAAACTGAGATGGAAAACTACGCAGGGCTATATCAAGCAGATAATATCGTGTTTAGGTTGGTCACGTCCTTTTCCTTCTCTTTTTCCCCTCCACTGAGTTTTAGAGGTTCTATTTCGTGCTGTCTTTAAATGATCGTCTTTCTATTCTTAACCCCAACATGCTGTATTCAGCCGTTTTAAAATAGTACAAATTGGTAATATCATTTTTCATTTCCTCACTTCGTTTCGTGGCCTCCATTTTTGGGAAGTGCATATCCTTCTGTAGAAACACAAGTCTTTTAAGCTACTAATGTTAATTTCCAATAACAACCACCTTGTCTCTTTGACGAGTTGTAATATGGTGCTACGAATGGCGAGACTCACTGACGATGCCGGCAAACGTCTGGGAATGTACTACGTCCACGGTCCTACTCTGGAAATTATGATGCATACAATGGACTCCGGACTAGGTGCGTTCCTCTAAGT